TGCAGGCAGGAGTGGACAGAGGGCAGGCAGCAAGTCAGGAGAGAGCAGAAGGCACGACCCACACCTGGCAGGATGAACGTGAGCCAGGTGACATCCACGAAAGAGCTGAAGACAGTTACAGCCAAGGAGCTGGATGGCTGGATCATGGAGGTCCTGCAGCCCAGTACGGATTTCAGCACGCAGGTGAAGAAGACAGTGAAGGAGATCTGCGACTTCCTGAAGGAGGACTGCTTCGAGACCAACATCCGTGTTCACAAGACTGTCAAGGTGAGCACTGCCCAACTCAGGGACCAGCCGGCACCCCTGCTGCCACCTTTCCCTCTGTCTTGCTGCTCCAGCTCATGCCCTGCCTCAGTTTCCCCTGGCAGCCCCAGGAACAGTGGCAAGCAATCCCCATGCCAAGGGGCAGCGCTGCTGAGCAGGCAGGGCGTTTCTCTCTGCAGGGTGGCTCAGCAGGCAAGGGCACAGCCCTGAAGAACAACTCCGATGCCGATGTGGTGCTCTTCCTCAGCTGCTTCTCCAGCTACCAGCAGCAGAAGCAGGAGAGAGGGTATATCCTGAATTTGATCGAGAGGAGGCTGTGCGCCTTCAAGAAGAGACCGACATTCACCGTGAACATCAGCAAGCCCCGGTACAAGGGTCCTGACAATACACCACGCTCCCTCAGCCTCACCCTCTCCTCCACCTCGGAGTCCATTGAGGTGGACATCCTACCTGCCTTTGATGCCTTGGGTAAGGGCTGCAGGCTGGTGTGGGGCTTGGCAGGAGTGTCAGTGCTGGCACAACTCTCACTCTCCTTCTCACCCCACAGGGCAGGTGATCTGGGGCGTCCCGCCAGATGAGGAGGTGTATGTGAGGCTCCTGAATGCCAGCAATGACCCTGGCGAGTTCTCTCCCTGCTTCACTGAGCTGCAGAAGCATTTTGTGAAGCGTTGCCCTGCCAAGCTGAAGAACCTCCTGCGCCTGGTCAAGCACTGGTACAAGGAGGTGAGGGGCTGCCCATCTTCCTGGCACCCACTGGGCACCCACCCTGGCCAGCTCTCACCCCCATCCCTGTCTTTTCCCCAGTTGCTGAAGCCACAGTACCCCACTGCAGACTTGCCCCCCAAGTATGCCCTGGAGCTGCTGACCATCTATGCCTGGGAGGAGGGCACAGGCTCTAGCGAGTCCTTCGTCATGGCCGAGGGCTTCCGTACGGTGCTGGAGCTGCTCTGCCATCACCAGCAGATCTGCATCTACTGGGAGAAATACTACTCTCTCCAGCACAGTCAGATTGGCACCTATGTGAAGAGACTGCTACACAGTCCCCGGTAAGAACCATTCGTGCCTGGTGGGACACGTGCCACCCG